AGAATCACTGAACAAAAGATAAACGAACTTCGCTTCCAATTAGTTACACATCCACCGTACTCACCTGATTTGGCCCCCAGTGACTTCCACCTTTTTCCAAACCTAAAAAAATTCTTGGCTGGAAAGAGATTCCACTCAAATGACGAAGTCATCTCTGAAGTGAACGAGTATTTTGCACACCTTGACAAATCGACCTATTGTGATGGCATAAAAAAGCTAGAACATTGCTGGAATAAGTGCATTGCTAACAGAGGAGATTACGTTGAAAAATAAAAAAAGTTTTAACATTATTTTGTTTGTTTTTCTATGTGAGGCCGCGAACTTTCCGAACAGCCCTCGTATATATAGAATAAATATGGGTATAGAATAGATATAGATAAAGTAATAATATATATAATACCGGAAATTCCCCTGTCAAGATGATAGAATACTTTTTATGGTAAAGTAGAGATTGAAGACTTGAGAAGAGTAGATATTTCAAGAAAATTGCTAATATTTCTACAGATTAAGTAGTTTATACTTTCTATTGTAACATAGAGTTGTTTGTTTTGTTATGCATGGAATTCAACACCTGGGTGATCTGCCTACTGGGGATGCCTCCCGAGACATTTTTTAAGGGTAACTGACCTCTTTTCAGGCATTATAAAGATTTGGAAAAACCCTGAAAAACTCCATGTGGCCGGCTGCTCCTGGCAAGGCATGATTCACGGCTAAACTACCAGTGTTCAGGGAATGAAACTGGTTGGCCACTGGTGGGTCTGGGACATAAAGAGCAACAAAACATAATTTTACCTGGAGTGGACAAAAATAGTAGGAGTAATAAATACAAATACAAATAAATGAAGATGACATCTCTCCAAAATTTTCCTAAATATAATTTTATGAAAATTAATCAATCATTAAAAAGTTATATTATCTATTTAAATTTAAAGTTTTAAATTATTAATGTTAAAAAATAAATAGCATTAATTATTAAGGTTATTGAAGTATAGTGAATGATATTGTATATTGCTAGACAAATATTATTAATTTATTTATATATTCATTGATATTTACATATATCTGTAGAATATTCAACAGTTTTTATTTAAAATTTATAAAATAAATACACCTAAAAATAATAATCTTTAATTTCTTTTTATTTCAAAACTGCTTTTTTCTTTATTTTTATTACAACAAATTGATAGAAATAGTATTAATGAACAATAATTAACAAATATTTTATTAATGTATTTAGATAAATATAAAAATCCATCTTCATCAATCACTGGCACAATTCCAAAAGACTTCCTTAGCAGAACATTTGTAACTTCTAAAGATACAGGAAAAGGTAAGTCATAAAATTTGTCTAAATATAAGCTAATTTTATATGTATATGAAAAAAAATAATATAATATAAAGAAATTTCTTCATTGATCAAATAAATCTTTAATATATTTTTTATGGGTTTTCAATTAAAAAGTTGAGAATATTTTTAAAATTATAAAGTGATCATTAATTTAGTTTATAGTATCAACTAAATTATTAAACTGTTCAGTAGAATTGAAATAAATATGAGCATAATATTAATTTTTAGAAATAATTAGAAAAAAATGAAGAAATGTAAAAATTATTTTATTTGAAGTTGTTCATTTTCATAATTTTTTTTTTTTTTGTAGTATTAAAATTAATTTTGTATTATAACTATTTGTAAATTAAATCCTAATGTATGATCTTAATATCTTAGTGAAAGGAAAACAAATAAATTGTTCATTTAAAAACTGAGTTCTCATTCATTATTGAATGAAATAAATTTTGTTAATGGATAAAAACCTTTTGAAATTTTACATTACCTATTACATAATCATGCATATAAGAGATATTGTATGATAAGGCGAAATTGGCACTATATTCCATATTCCATATATATTCCACAATGTATATAAAAAACTTACTATTTTTAATAACCTTCTATAATATCAGAAACTTTATTTTGATGTTATATTTTTAATAATAGTTATTATGGAGATGATACAATAACTATTTAGTGAAATAGTTTTTGTATCAGTACTAGGGTTTATCAGTTTTTAAAACCTGGTTTTGAAAAACCAGTTTTTGGAAGAAATTTTTATAATTTAAAAACTTTTTCACAAGTAAAAAAACTGGGTTTTGAGCCTACACTCAAAATATAAAAATAAATAAATTATTAGATTAAAAACATCCACGTTTTGACACAAAATCGTCTCTGGCATAAAACAGGAATATTGTTAAATAAATACTAAGTTTCATAAAACTAACTACAAAACAAAAAAATCCCCCTATGCCTAAAAAGTGCCAAATTGGCACAATTCAAGCTCTGAATGAGATGGTTGGGACCTTTATTTGAGAAACACTGGTGTAGACGTTGATCGATTTTATTTTGTTATATTTTTGAAATGTTATAAATATTAAATGAATTAAAACATTTTAAAATAAGTTGTAAATATCTCTTATCTCCATTTTTTGAAAAAAAATTTTGAAAACTGGTTAAAACCAGTTTCATAAAAAAGTTGGTTTTTATATAAACCGTAATCAGTACATTTAAATTTCTTCACTGTTTTACTGAGCCATCTTTCTTCTTGTCAGATATAAAAGTGTGCTGTAATATGTTATGCTCTTACAAGCAAAGCCAACAGGTTTCAAGGTAGTGAAAAACAACTGATATTTGCGTTTTTCATGAGCTATAGAGAGCGCTGCATTTTTACAAAATGGCTTCTTTATCTGGGTTGCTTGTAATTAATAATGTAAAATTAATCATATATTACTGTCCGATATAATGATATATGCTGCCTGTAGCTGTTTATCGAGAAATTTTATAGAAGGGGAACAATTATTGTTAGCGGGACACGTCATTATGTGGTATCGAAACAAATGAGTGAGATCGTTCTATACATATTTTGTACCCTTTGTGTTAAAAAAATATCAGCTTTGACATTGTCCCATCGGGGCTGGATTTACAAGTAAAAAGCCTCAACTTTCAAGGGACCTCAAACATTTGTACAAAAAAGAAAATTGAAGTCAGATTTTGTAATAAGCATTTTTTTACAAACTAACAAAATGTACTTCACTGTTTATTTTGTGTAGTATTTCATTAATTTTTTTCTAAGAATTAACATAATATCTTTTTTAAAAAAATTGATAAAACCAATTTAAAAAAAAAAAGATTTTTAANCACTGTTTATTTTGTGTAGTATTTCATTAATTTTTTTCTAAGAATTAACATAAGATCTTTTTTAAAAAAAATTGATAAAACCAATTTAAAAAAAAAAAGATTTTTAATGGAATGGGTATAAAAATTTAATTAAACTTAGTTATAAAACAGAAGACTAGTAAAACCTCACGTCTTTTTCTTCCAGTATCCGTATTAAATCAGTCATAATCTGATTTAATTCTTATCTTTTTATGATTGACTTCTAAAATTGTGAAGGGTTGGCCTTACAGAGTTCGGCTTAGGGCTTCGAAATGCTTAAATCCGGTCCTGTATCCTACACAAAATTACTGGCATTTTAAACTTTAACAAAATGTTTTAAAATGACAGAATAACTTGTTCGTGAAAGCTGGACAATCGGGAAAGTGCCAATTCTTAACAGTCTAATCCACTCTCTCAGAATTTGGAGCTCATAAATATAACCGATCAATTTCCGAATAATCATCTGTTTTTCCCGTTTTTCATGTGGGAATAGACGAAAACTTATATCAGGCTCTCGTAAGGCTTTGAAATTGCAATTTAGAACCAACAGTAAGCATTGCTTTTTCTATCTCCTTTCATCTTTACTGCTGATAATACACAAGAATGAATCAAACGACCCAGATAGAATAGTTTTGTTTTTAAACACCAGAGGGTGAGCATCCGGTGAAAAATGCGAATTGGGTAGGCCTGGCATTTTTAAGTGAAAATTTTGCGTGAAAAATAAAATGTTTTGGCAATGTGTTTTATGTTACTCTATAGAGAATTATGTGCTCTACAAAATAGTGTGTTTAGTATTTTTGTGCTGATATACTTTTTGTTCTTTTCGGATCAATAAAATGGAGTGTCAAGTTGAATAATATATGAAGTGTTATTTAACATTATGAATTCCTTTTTTCTCTAAATACATTTTATTGAAGAGTTGAATTCTAAATGCAATGTTTTCTGCTTTAAAAAAATATTGTGGCAATATTGGCACTGTAAGTGGCTGTATTTTGAAGTTGAATTTATGTAAAGCCGTAATGTTTAAAGCACCAAAGTGCAAGTCACGTGACTTTTGGTGCATAAAATGTAACAGATTATATTTACATCATTTTGATATTCCCAAGAATTTGTAACCTAGTGAGTTTTTATCATTTTATTGTAAAATTGAAATAAATTCATTCACTAGAAAAAGTGCTTTTTACCTCTCCTGAAAAGTTTGTTTTTTGGCATTGCATGCTTCATATATTTGTTTTATTAAGATTGATCTTTTTCATACACATCTACTTCTTATGTTTTTTAAAGTTTATGTATTAGCTCTGTTGTTTAGGAAGCCACATTCATCTTGAGGTTTTTTAGTTAGGAATATGCATTTTGAGCTTTTCTTTCTTTCTTTAACTAATACATATGTTCTAAAAAATCGTTTTATTAATTTGTTTCCCTGAAAAACATTATTTAATTTGTTAAATTTTTTAAATGTATTTTCAATAAGACATATAGATTAAATTTATACAAAATANATTAAATACAGAAATTAAATATTTTGTATAAAAATGCAAATTTTAGGACAGGAAGATCCATTAAAAAGCCCTTTAGTTAACATTTTCTCCTGGATGGTTGATTTTCCTTCTCGTAACTATTTTGTCAAAAAGTTTCTTGGGACATTTAGATCAGCAAAACCTATTGATAATTTACAAAACAATACAGCAAGAGAAAATTTAAATATGGCTACTAAACGGGTAAGTTATCTTTTTAAAATAATATCTTACTACAAAATTTTTGCTGAATTAATGTGTTGTAATTATCATCTTTTTTAAAATGTTAGATCGAATGTCATCACACAAAAGATAACCCTGGATTTTCGGAAAAACAATTAACTAGAGCACCTCTTCATAGTGGTAAGCAATTAAGAATTTTTCCCGATATGATTTAGAACTAATTTTTACATTGTTTTCGTTAATTATAATTATGTTTAGTTTTATTTATGTTTTATATTTCATTAAAAATTTTTGTAGTTTTATTTATAGAAGGAAAAATTAATTTTAAAAGACAAATGACCCAAGTCCAAATTCTTTACTTTTTCTGAAAATATTTTGCTTTTTAAATGCTTAGTGTTGTGTTTTGTTTCGTAATAAGACTTAAAAGAATTGAAAATTAAAGATCTTCAATAAAGTTTTTTCAAGTTGTTGTAAAAAGTTCTAACAGAGTTTGGAAATAAAAATTTTCACAGCAATAAAATATTCTGCTTTAAATAAAGAATTTTAAGCAAGTAACCTTGTTTGTCCATTAAAAATGCTGTAAATGCAAAGAAAGTGATTAACTTGTCTGTTGTTTCTGTAGAACAGACATGGCAAACAAATTGATCATGGATAATATGACTTGTTAAAATATGAAAATGCATTTGTAATTTTTTTTTGAAAGTATAAAAATCCATATTTTCACCATTAAATCTTTAACTTTCACTATGGCTTGTTAGTACAGTGATGTATTAGATTGTATGTGAAACAGAGATGAATGATGATCATTGTTTCTGATTTATGTACAGTGAAAAGAACACATACAGCTACTGAATGAGAAACAGAAAGAAGTGAAATTGCTTTTTGTGTCAGTTGTTGTATCTAGATTATGTTGTTATTTTAGAAATTGCCAAGTTATGCTCTAAAGGCTCCTGGTATGTCAATTACTACACAATAATTAAATATATAATTGTTTTGCAGAGTATAATTTTATAAGAGTGGGTTAATAAACTTTTATAAAATAATAAAAATATGGTGGTAGATCTGCTGTACTTTTGACTTCAAAAAAGTTGTTCACATTTCACTTAAGTTGGCCAAACCTGATAAAGAACATGTATTTTAATATTGTTAATTAACTATTGAATCTCTTACATGCTTACTTTGACAATGTTAATACTGTTTAAATTTTGTATTTGAGTATCGTATTTTTGAGGAATGACCAGCATGCCGACTTATCCCAGGGATGCCAGCATACCAGTTTAAGTGAGGTTATATATCCCTCTGTAGAAGGTGCATTAAAAAAAAATGAACAGGTTATGTCACACAAAAACAGAGTTTTTATTCTAAAACTGAAAAAGAGTTTTTATTCTAAAACTGTGAAGCATTACATCAAAAACTACAATTATATGTTTAATTTCTTCATTTTGTGTTCTTTGTAACATTATAAAATACTTATGGAATTCCAAAAGTGCATTTTTTTATGTGTATTTTATCATTATTTGATTCAAAAATGCAAAAATAAACATATTAAATTTAAGAAACTGGCTGTAAATTATCTCAACCTACATTGATTAGCATCAGCTTTGTTTGAAATTTGAGAGGAAGGTATTATATTTAAGGTCTGGGTGGATGGTCAATGTAGTTTACACTGACTAACTACTACTACTACTACTACTACTACTATTACTACTAATGTCAATAAGTCTCTAATTATTTTATTGTCTTTAAGTCTGTTAAATTACAATGTGATTAATTTGTTGTACTCAGAAGAATGTTTTCTTTAATGTTTATTTAACAACTAGTTTTGTTAGATCTGATTAATTTTATATTTTAGTCACAGTTTAACTGGCATGCTGGAAATCCCAGGGTTTCCGGCATGCTGGTCTCCTCCATTTTTAAGCAGTCATTCTGTGAAAATACAGTATGATAATTATAAAAGTAAATGTTTAGTTTTTGCTTATTTATTTAGGGAAATGCCATTTTAATCAATTCTTCATACTAATTTAATGAAATTAAATTTGTGGAATGCACATTTACTTTAATATTGTATTAAAATAAGAGGTTACAAGTGTTTGTCTGAAATAATATCTGCTTATTTTGTTTTAGTTTTACTCTTAATAAGTAGTATCAAAAGATACCCATCTTTACAAAAATGTAACTCAATTGTTAAATATTTTTATTTGTTACAGTGAAAATTACAATTAATCTAATTACATGTGTTAATAATATCTTATTTTTGAATTAAACATTTCTACATTAGACAGAAATAGACTGGCAAAGTAAACTGATCATGTTTATTGTTACTGCTATATTTTTTCCCATTTAAACTTTTACTTGGGTGTAAAAAGATTATTTTCAAAATATTCAGTTTTGTTTATCTATGTTTAATAAATACAATGAATAAATTATTATTATTATTATTATTATAATAATAAATATTCATTATTTGCAGGAAGGAATGAGTATCGATCATTATTATCTGTTGGAACATCAAAACATTCTTTTAATAAACCTCATTTCAATGGTTGCAAAGAATCATTTCAAAGTAAGTAATTAACAAATGATTAATGATAATAGAGAAAAATTTTGTAGATTTATGTAAAACTTAAGTATGGACATGTTTACACTTAAGTCTCATTCATTACATTAGTTAAGTTTTACAAGTTTAAATTTTATAAAAATTCAGTTTTGGACATCATTCAATCATAAAAAAACATCAAATTATTTTTCTTCAATTGGCTGGTCTTTCTTAGAATCCACTTTGCCCACAGAAATAATAACTGATAAAATATATGACACATTAATATCCGCAATAAATAATTTTCTACAATACTGCAAAATTGGCATATCCTTATATAAATGGATTCCCTATCACCTTAAAAAATTACATTATATTATAAGAAAACAGTGGAAAAAGCAGAAATTAACTGGTAATCCTTGTGACCTTTACATCCACATAACACTATAAAAGCAATGTTATAGAGAATACCATATGTCCTTTCTTAATTACTTCAATAGAGTAGTGTTCGACTTCTCGTCTGATCCTCACACTTTTATTCCTAAGTTTTCTAAAAAAAAAAATACCCATAAAACAAACATTATTTCCAGATGATAAAATTATATCACATTTACAAAAAAAATAAAAGCAATATACTATTAAATATTACCAAATGCAGAATTTAGTGACCTTATATATCATCAATACAATTTTAATTATTCCCTTTCTTTCATCAATGTCAAAGAGGCTATTATCAAACTAAATACAGTCAAACATCATGTTATGAATGCCCCTATTTACAAACAATTTGGTTTACAAACAAAATTTTGAACTCTCTATTTGCTCCAGTTGCCATATGATAACTCTGTTTCTGAACAAGCTACTTGGAAGAGCTACCACCAATGGTCAAATTCCTATACTTCCTGTTAAAGAAAGTTGATGACCTGACCAATCAATGACAGGACTACTGATTCAGAAGCTGATGGTGCCGAGATCACCTCGCATTACAATATGAACCATTCATGATGATGATGATTAAATTACATTTCAATGCACATGCAGGAAAGATATTTTTTCCATTTTTGATACATGTCACAGTTGAATTTAAATCAAAATAATTAATAAAAACTGTATTAATTGAAATTCATGTAATATAAATGGCATTCAAGAATTCGTGTTTAGATATGCTTAAGTTAAATTAAATGACAAAAATTTATTAATATAATCCGGAAAAATTGTCATAGATTTTTTACGGAAGGAAACCATTTTGGCTAGTAGAAGAGATTCAATTAAGTTGCTTTGCAGCTATAGTGACTTTTTCACTTAGCCTGAAGCTACGGAGGAGATAAGAAACTTTCTGAACGTGACGAGATCGTAATAGCTAAACGCTAATTTGAAGACGAATGACTATCACCCGTCCTATGCCTAACTCTCCCTTCGGCTGAAAATTGCTTGTGAAAGAGTGATCTAGTTTTTCCCTCCCATCCATGCCCGTTGTGCAGTACCCGTTGATTAGAAGATACAGACTGCATCAAGACATCCGCAACTCGGCTCTCGTAAATTATCCTTAAAGAAAGAATTCTTTGTCCAGGTCAAACGGGAACGCTATCAGAATTTCCTTTGAAGCTTTAGTTAAGAATAAAATGACTATATTATGTCTTGAAAGAAAAAAAAACAGGATAGTCTAAAAGGGACTTACTTAATCGCAGTTTTTTAACCTTCACAATAGACCTAATATAAAACTGAAATTCGAATAAATATAGAAAATACAATTTTTAACTTAAAAATGCTAATATATAGGCTAATATATAAAAATATTTAGTCTCTACCAAATATATTTAAATAAACAGATTAGAAATAATATGTAAACCTAATTTAAATAGAATAAATATAATTATATTAAAATTTGTTTTATTGATATTAAATATTTAAATAGATAGAAATTT